CCTGTCCGTCTTGGGTGGCCCTGCACGGCATAGCTCATGGCTTCACTGAGTTATGCAAGCCTCTTCGTCACGACAAGGCAGTGATCCATGAAGGGTTTGGTTGCTTTACAACAATGTTTTTATATTAGTAAAGAACTTAATCTTTGTAAATAGTAAAATATACATTTTATTGGTGTTTATTTTGCCAGAAATACTAGGATCAAGCAGCTGGCTGGTGACTGAAGCAGCTGCTCCTCAGTGGATGTCTTGAATAAAAATGCTTCTGCTGCTTTTCATAGATGAGAGTAAATACATTTTTTAATACATGGAAATAATTTAGCAACATCCATTTCCAGGCAAGAGCCATGTAACCATATATGGTTGGCCCCAACCCTTTAGAATATGATTTGTACATTAGCTAAAACAGATTTAAGTGCAGATCCAGCCATTTATGTTAAAAACAGTGTTTGTGTCAATTTAACTCTCAGTGCATGGGCATGATTTAACACAGGTGTCCCCAGTTTGGGGCCCAAAAATTGCTGAACTACAACTCTGATTGCCTCCACTCATTGGCCATACTGGCTGTATGTTTAAAATTGTAAATCTGATACCTAAGAACTCAGACTTGAGGAAGTCTGAACTTTGCAAGGACAAAATAATCATGCAAATGAGTGGCCACTTTAAACTTAAGTGCTACAAGAAGCCTAGAATCTCATGCCCTATATAAATTCTGTGGATCCAGCATGAGGGTTATCCAAGCTATTCATAATTTTTCTCAACCTTCAAAGTGAGCTGAAATGGGACTCAGAAGGATGATTTACATTATATGAAGGCAGATGCCGTTATACCTGTAACATAATGGGATGTGTATTAACAGACAGCATGTAGAGGAGACGCAGTTTATCCCGGTCTGTGAAATGGTCCATATAGACACTACCAGCATCTGGCACTTCAGCATATCGCCGCACTATTCGGTCCAACAGTCTTTGTGATGGACAGTGAAGCATTGGTGTACGGAGGCCCTAAAAGAAAAATGTGGACACGCATAGTCTTTTCTCTGCTTTTATCACAAGGACTTAGATAAAATCAGACCGTTTGTTACCTATTTCCCTTTTGTATGTTCTGGAATAGATTCTGAAAATGAGTACTGCTGCATTAATTCAATACAGGTGGTCCTCGTTTAATGGCCACTCATTCACCGACTGTTTGAACTTATGACAGCACTGAACGAGTAGTAGCTACAGCCAGACCTCATATTTACAGCTGTTGAAGCATCCCCATGGTCATGCGATCGTGATTTGCGATCTTCCTTGCTGTCTTCCAATGAGCAAAGACAGTGGTCATGTGAGGTCCTTGCTTAACAATGCAACTAGGACTGCCAGAACTGTAGTCTTTTAAAGTTCATGGAGGGTATCAATAAGTACATTGAAACAGTGATGTAGTAGACTTTGTGAAGTTGGACTTTCAAAAAGATTTTAATACATGTTTTCAGTAAAGGTTCTTGGAGAGTCACAAGGCAATAGTAAACCACTTCCGAAAAATATTGCTAAGAAAACTGCATGGACTTGACAGACTTGCCTATGCCACTCTCAGGAGCCAAGATCAACAGAGGGCATAAAAAAAAAAAAAGGCTCGAGTAAACCTATTGCCTGCATTGTTGGTAAATATTTTGGTATAAGAAACAACTAATAACGAGACTAAATTTGCAGATTGGCAGAAGTGCCCTCATTAAATGTTTGGTTCAGCCACAGAAGGGCAAAGTCATCAGCCAAAGACAAGCTTAGATGGAAAAAGTTTTTGCTAGGAAGGTGATAATTATAAAAGATTTATAACAATTATGGACTGTTACATTGAATATGGTAAATTGCACTGATATATTGTGGGTAGCTGAATTACTATATAAAGCAGCGTTTCTCAACCTTGGCAGCTTGAAGATGTGTGGACTTCTAGGAGTTGAAGTCTACACATCTTCAAGCTGCCAAAGTTGAGAAACACTGATATAAAGGAATGAGGAACCAATTTCGGTATTTCTGGCTATTTTTATTTGCAGTATTGACTGTCACCTATGATTCTATGATGCACATTTTAACTTCCCAATTGCTGTTATTATTCTGTTGCTTAGAATTGAGTTGCCTATAAGGTAACAATTGAAGTGATCAGGATCCTGAAAAACCAAAGAAGCATTGGAAGTGGCTAAGTATAAATTTGAAAACAAGATCAGCATAACCTTCCTTGACCAAAGAAGATGTCTGGTTTACTTCGTTTGGGTTAAATTAGACCATCTTTCTGTTTGACCTTATGTTTGCTAAATTGTTTTTATGCTGTTGTTATGATAAAGAAAAAAATTGTAATCTAAACCTTTGCAGCTTTTCATTTCAGCACAGCTCTATAAGACTCACATAGGCAGAGGTTACATACGCATCTCTAAAACTCTGAACATTGAATCTTGAATATGGATAATTGCTGTTACAATATGTGGTATACTTGGCATCTCTTGTTTGTTACTGGTATTAAACCTTTTGCTCTGTATGAGAATATTTGTTATACAGACACTTTAAAAAATAGTTCAGAGAGAAGTGTCAGCTACTGTGAACTGAAATGTAGGCAGCCTGGATGGCACGGATGGGGAGTAACATTCCTCTGCCAGTGACAGTTTCGTCAAGAGATGCATGTAAACTCAAATCTCTTGGGCAGGCAAGCTTTTCAGCCCTGGACCATTTGTAATTTTCAGTAAAGATTTCCACCGTGACACACAAAGTAATCATTGTGGCAGCTGCTGAGTTGGTAGTTGGGTCAGGTAGGACCATCCACATAAATGAAAAACTTTATTTCACAGTCTGTCATTTTGATTCAAGTATATTAAGACATGTCATAATTCTTTGCACTATATAAAACAATTACTTGAGCCCAATAACTTGAGTCAAGTCTCCTATATATCCAAAAACCACAGAGGAGAAGAAGCAGTTATTGGAGAAGTTCAACTGCTTTGATGCAGAAATGGGAGTCTGCACTCTGAAAATACCACATTGCTGCAGTTGCTTGTCAGTAAGAGATGACTGATTGCTAGGTGATGCAAGGGCATCAATGCTTACTTTACGTTGTGGTAACAAACCAAGGAAATAGCCACATGGCACCAGGAACCTAAGGAGACTAAACCTTTGCATGTTCCCATGATCCTTAGTTTGGAGAGGAAGACTAGGCTTTTCGTGAGATTTTGAATGGAAGGAAAAGAGGGAAAGTGAGTGAGTGTGTGAGAGAGAGGAATCATGGCATTCTTAAATGAGTTGATGTTGAATCTGGATCCCACAGCAGCCTTCAGTTTATGGAAGAAAAAAAAAACCCAATGGTGTAATGGTGTGAAGGGTCACAGTCCTGTTGGAGATTGGATGTGTGAGGAGATTTTGAAAATGGTAGCCTTAGGAGAAGTGCCAGTTGTCAGAATCAAAGAAAAATCAGGATTGAAGAAAAAGCCATGGCGGAATTTTCATTACATCTCTCGCCATATTTGGCAGTACTTTTATTAATTATACAGTAGATGCATGATAAAAGGTAGTGTGATACTTATCTGCTGTGTAACATGAACATAACACACACAACTGCAGTCAAAGAAGGAAGTTGCATTTTGGGTTCCAGGTGTGCACTGACTTTTCTAGTGGGATATCCTGGCTGCAAAAATTTGAAGAAGCATTTGGAGAATAAGCTGGAGTAAGCATAATCTATTCTCAAAGTGAAGCAGTCAACATAATAACTATATAAAAACCTACAGGACACAAACCAGGAAGTGGGACCAAAAACAAGCCAAGAACCAAGACAAAGAGACAATCAACAAATACAAAAATAAAGAGCCTTCATTGCTCAAGCAAAGCTGAACGGGACTCTTATATTCCTTCCTGTCTACATAGGCAGTGGGCAGCCGGAGTGGGAAACAGCATTCCTGATCCAGAAAACTAAAGCTGCTTAGACATCTCCTTGGAAGCTATCTACAACCCAAGGGCTATTGGTTCAAGCCCAGCTTCTAATAATGTGGCATCACATGCTGGAAATTTAAATGCACTTATCTTGCATCAACACAATTATAAGCTGTGGTTACGGATTCCACATCTGCACTGTTGAACTTATTTAATATGAGGTATCAAACTCAAACTGACTGAGACATAACATCTTATGGAGCCCTGAATCATGCAACCTACTCCTGAAACAGGATTGCCCAGTCTTAAAATGATAGGCTGCTTTATAAGGCCTCAGGTTTATTTCATAGTGGAAGTGGGAATTGGAATGGACCGCTTAAAAGTTTCTGCAATGTTCAAAAAACTTAGCTATAGTCTTATTCACCACCCAGAATCAGGATGGAGTTTGGCAGAACAAACAAACTAACACTGTCTTAGGGGAAAGTTCCATTGAACTCAGTGGAACTTATATTTAAGTAGACCTTAAATATAAGTATACTTATATAAATAGTATACTTTAAAGGTAATAAAGCAACCTGACAACAAAAATGTGTTAAATGAACATTATCTCTGTTCTCAGTCTTGAGAACTGAATAACAGATAAAAATAAAGAATGCAATACATCATTTTGGAAGATAGAGCTTCAAAATATACATTTCCTTTGGCCAGGAATTAACTGTATATTTTAAATGTGACATCTCCATTTTCCAGTTTTAAAATTTTAATTCAGATGTGAGAATCCTATATAATAGTAGCAAACAAGAAAATATAGCTTTAGTGATACAATTGCATTTCTAACTCAATATATTCCTTTACCTACTGTCACATCAAATAATGTGGCATGTGAAGAAAAAAAAAACCTGATGTACTAATTCTTTTAACAAATGGCCAACTCCCCCCATCAATGATTCTATCTGATTTTCTTCTAGTTAAGCTTAGGAAGAAGAAATATGGCCTTTGTTTTCATCAAATGTTGAGCCTACATAAGAATTTAGCTTCTACCAAGTGCTCCAACAGGAAGCATATTGACACTTTGAACTTTGTTATTGGAGAAGACTTCTGAAACTACCATGGACAGCCAAGAACACAAACCAATGAATCATTGAAATCAACCCTAGCTCTCTGGAGAAGGATCAAATGCTGGGAAAGGTGGAAGGAAAGAGGACGACTAGCAGCAAAGTGGATGGACTCAGTTACAGTGGCGATGAGTACACCATTGGAAAAGCTACAGGATCAGATTAGGGACAGAACATCAAGATGAAAATCTATCTATGTGGTCACTAACAGTTGATCACAACTTGACAGCACATAATCAAAGTGCTCCAATGGAGGGGACTCCATATATGACAGGTTTTGGATTCTGGGAGAGCTTTGTGTGGCACAAGCCAGCTGCAGAGAGAGGGTTTCTTCCAAACTGAAGAGGGACAGAAGGAAGTGGAGAGATGGGAAGCACATAGTTCTCTTAAAAAGACCTCTTGCAAGCTGCTAAATAAAACTTACCAAAGAACAAAAGAGAAGCAACAAGGCAAGTAAAATGTTTATAAATTTTTTAGAAACCTGTGTATAGTCTTTGATTTAAAGTAATGGAACTCTACTGCTGGGGAAGTAATGGTGTATAAGATGAATTCTTGTGTTTCCAGATGGAACTTCTTTTTTTCCTTACAGCTAAAGTTGGAAATGTTCCATGCTGCCATCTTGTGGTGATTAGAGAGAAATCCATGGAAAGTATGAGTGGTGGGTGGAAATCATGCTGTATGTTAAAATTGTTACATGTTAAAATAAGAGTTTGGGGTGTGGGGGTAAGGGGACAACACTAGATAAAAGTACTTATAGTATTTATTATTTCCCTTCAAATTAAAGAATACACAACTGTGAATCTAACACTGTTCCAGGAGTCACTATACTTTTGCTCAGAATAATCTCTTTGGAAAATAGTTGTCTTAACATTATCCAAAACCCATTGATTTACAAAACAAATGTCCATTTGTTTCATTTTTGTTTTTTGTATAGGATTCTAAAATATTCTAGCAAATATAATCTACAATTATATTATATATTAAACCTACCATAAATAC